TCCAGCAGACCAAGGAGTGAATGTGCCTTTTTTTTTTTTTTTTTTTTTTTTTTTTTTTATCAAGTTACTTCAGATAGAAAATTCATATTTGTCTTTAATTCTGGAAAATTTTGTCTTATGTCTTCCATATTGTGTAGTTCATCCTTTCTATTTTAACTTGCAGGAACTCCTATTAGACAAATGTTGGTCCTTCTCTTCTCCCCTCTTCCATTGTTCCCATTTATACCTCTCTGTACTACAATCCAACTGACTTAGCATTTGTTTCTGTAGAACTCCAGATGCTCACCAATCTGGGCCAATCTTTTTTAATTTTATATTACTGTTTTTATTGATTTCAAAGAGGGGGAGAAGGTGAGATAGAAACATTATAGATCTGCTGCCTTCTTCATGCCCCCTATTAGGGATTGAGCCTGAAACCTGAGCATGTGCCCTGACTAGGAATTAAACCACAACCTTCTGGTGCTTGGACGATGCTCAACCAACTGAGCCAGACCAGTCGGGCTGGGCCAATCTTCACAGTAGATAAAAAAATATATATATTTTTTATTGATTTCAGAGAGGAAAAGAGAGGAAGAGAGAGAAACATCAATGATGCGAGAATCATTGATTGGCTGTCTCCTACAGATGATGGAGCCCCCAATATAGCCATGTGCCCTAACTAGAATCAAACCCTTAACTTCTAGTTCATAGTTTGAAGCTTAACCATTGAGCCACACTGGCCAGGTCATAGTAATTTTTCAGCTTGATGTTCTTCCACATGCTGGTAATATAAACTAATACTATGTACACCTGTATGTGGCCCAGGCTTGCGAATTTTTGTGAATGCCTTTTTACCTTTGATCCTTGCTGCTGACCCAGGGACTCTACTCCCTTTCCAACTCCACTCTCTTTACCCAGATTTCTCTCCAGCAATCACACACCTTATAGGGACTGAGGCCACATCTACCCTTACCTGGAATAAAACACCTCAGTACTCCAGCATTTTATCTATAACTGTGGGATTGTGCTGTCATCATCTATTATCATTCTGGCTGTCCTTTTTATCCTTTGATATTTTCCTTCCTTCCCTCCCATCTTTTCCTTGTCTCACAATTCAGCTACTTAACAAAAACCAACTTTTTTTCTATTTTGGCCAACATTTGTCAGTATGGTCAGCTCAGTGTGCCACCTTGCCAGAAGTCTCCCTAGTTTACTTATTTAAAAAAAATTTTTTTTTGCCCCAGTCAGTGTGGCTCAGTTGGTTGGGCATTATCCCATGTATCTAGGGGATGCTGGTTCAACTCCTGGTCTGGGCCTGGGTTTCCGGCTAGGTCCCAGTGGGGGGCATGCTGGAGGTGGATGATCCATGTTTCACTCTTGCATTGATATTTCTCTCTCTCTCAAAATCAATTTTTAAAAACCTTAAAATATACATATATACTTTTTATTTTTTAAAACAATTTTGAGTTCACAGCAAAACTGTGCAGAAAGTAGAGATTTCTCATATACAGCCAGCCTACCCCACATCAAAACCACCAGAGTGGTGTATCCACCAACATAATGTCATACAGAATAGTTTCCTTGCCCTAAAAATCCTGTGACCTGCCTATTCATCCCTCCCTCTTCCTCTTCCTAAGCACCCCTCCATCTTTTTACCATCAACATAGTTTTTGCCTTTTCCAGAACGTTATATTGTTAAAATAATCTAATAGAGTCTTTTCAAATTGGCTTCGCTCATTCAGTAATGTGTGATTAAGTTTCCTCCAGGTATTTTCATGGCTTGATAGCTCATTCCTTTTTAGCACTGAATATTTCTTTGGATGTAACACAGTTTATTTTTCCTTTCACCTACTCAAGGACATATTAGTTGCTTCCAAGTTTTGGCAATTATAAAGCTACTATAAACATCTGTATGCAGGTTTTAGTGAGAACATAAATTTCAACTCATTAGCAAAATTCCAAGGGGTATGATTGTTGAATCATATGGCAAGAATGTGTTTATTCTTGTTAGAAACTGCTGAACTGTCTTTCAAAGTGGCTGTACCATTCTGCATTCCCACCAACAATGAACAGGGTGTTCCTGTTGCTCCACATCCTCACTAGTATTTGATGTTGTATTTGGGGTTTTGGCCATTCTAATATGTGTGTAGTGGTATCTCATTTTAACTTGTAATTCTCTAATGACATTTGATGTTGACTATATTTTCATGTTTATTTGCTAACTGTGTATCTTCTTTGGTATGAGAGGCAGTTGGCAAAAACACCTGTCTGTTGAGGTCATTTGCCCAGTTTTTATTATTTTTTTTAAATTTCTTTATTGATTAAGGTATTACATATGTGTCCTTATTCCCCCATTACTGCCCCCATATCCAACACTCATGTCCTCACCCCCATTGTCTGTCTCCATTGGTTAGGCTTATATGCATGTGTACAAGTCCTTTGGTTGATGTCTGCCCAGTTTTTAAAAAGATTTCCTTACTACTGAGTTGTTGTTTTTTAATCCTTACCTGAGAATGTCTATTGATTTTAGAGAGTAAGGAAGAGAGAAACATTGATTGGCTGCCTCCACCACACACCCCCAACCAGGAATCAAATCCACAACCAAGGCATGTGTCCTGACTGGGAATTGAACCCGAAACCTTTTGGTATATAGGACAACGTTCCTATCAAATGAACCACCCCTGCCAGGGCTCTTATTATTGTGGGGTTGTTGTTTAATATATTTTATTGATTTTTTACAGAGAGGAAGGGAGAGGGATAGCTAGAAACATCAATAAGAGAGAAACACCCATCAGCTGCCTCCTGCACACCTTCTACTGGGGATGTGTCCACAACTAAGGTACATGCCCTTGACTGGAATTGAACCTGGGACCCTTCAGTCCACAGGCTGAAGCTCTATCCACTGAGCCAATCCGGTTAGGGCTGTGGTTTTTTTTAATTTTTAAAAATTAATTTTGAGAGAGAGAGGGAAAGAGAGAAACACCAGTGTGATAGCATAATAGTGAAACACCAATCAGTCACCCCCTGTATGCCCTGCACTAGAGTCCAGCACAAAACCTGAGCATGTGCCCTGACTGGGAACCGAGTCAGCAACATCCTGGTGAACGGGACAACACCAACAAGCCACTCCAGCAGGGATTTATTGAGTTTTAAGAGCTCTTTGTATATTTTGGATAGGAGTGTTATCAGATATATTTTTTGCAAATATTTTCACCCAGTCTGTGGCTTATCTTTTCTTTCTCTTGATTTTCCTAATTATTTAAAGAAAGAACTAAGTACAGGCAGGAAGTCACTAAGAAACTCAAATATGCAGCCACAGAGAGAGCGTAGCATCTTCCTCAATCACTAAGAAATTTTCAGGCAAAACAAAAATTTTAATGTTTTCAATATAAAGAGCTAGTCATTTGGAAAACATCTTCCCTGCCTGGCTAAGTAACTCAATTAGTTAGAGCAGTGGTCTGCAAACTATGGCTCTCGAACCACATGCGGCTTGCAAACCATTGTTTGCAGCTCTGTTGACTAATGAATTTGCCGACCACTGCTAGACTAAATGTTACTGTGTAGTTGGAAGCTGTGAGGATTAGGCAATTGTGGCATATTGTGTGCAAAGAGGTAAAGGGTAGTATATGACAGTGGTTGGCAAACTCATTAGTCAACAGAGCCGCAGTTTGCCGACCACTGGGTTAGAGTATCGTCCTAATTTGTTGTTCCACTTATTCATGCATTCATTAGATGACTCCTGTATGTGCCCTGACCTGGGATTGAACGAAGAAGTGTCAGTTCAATCCCAGGTCAGGGCACATACAGGAGTCATCTAATGAATGCATGAATAAGTGGAACAACAAATCGATGTTTCTCAGTCTCTCTCTTAAATTAATAAAGAAAATGTCTTCCTTTTTACACCATTCAACAAAATGCTGCCCAAATAAGTAGGGCCTATAGCACTGTATATAAATTAGGTTCTAGAATTAGTTTAAAAAAAAAGCACTGCATCATTTAAAAACATAATTTCTAAATAAATAGAAAGAGATGTAGTGATGCAGCAAGCAACCAGGATGCATGGGAAGGCATTTTTAAGGATTATAGACACTGCGAAGACCATGCAGAAAAGGGCATTAGAAACAGGAGGGGTTGGGCCAACATGGCTAAGTGGTTGAGTGTCTAGCTATGAACCAGGAGGTCACCGTTTGATTCCTGGCCAGGGCACATGCCCAGGTTGCGGGTTCGGTCCCCAGTGTGGGGCGTGCAAGAGGCAGCTGATCAATGATTCTCTCTCATCAATTGATGTTTTTATATCTCTCTCCATCTCCTTTCGTCTCTGAAATCAATAAAAATATGTTAAGAAAAAGGAGAGGGGGGAGCTGGCTCTCACATAGACGAATAAAAATTGTCTGAGGGGAAAAGAGATTCGAAAAACAAGACAAACTCTAGCCGGTTTGGCTCAGTGGAGAGAACGTTGGCCCATGTTCTATTATGGTAAAGCGTAGACACATTGGTTGCAGGATTAATCCCTGGACTAATCAGGGACTGTGTGGGAGGCAGCCAATTGATGTCTCTCTCTAACATAGATTTTTCTCTGTCTCTCCCCCTCCTTCCCACTCTCTAAAAATCAGTGGAAAATATCCTTGGGGGGAATTAACAACAACAAAACAAGACAAAACATACCCCTACACAAAAGTGCTTCATTTGTCCCAGAAGTAAGACTGTTAGTGTCTCTTCCAAAAAATCTTACTACCCAGGTCTCAGTGAAATTACCTGGCTACTAATATTAGAGCTGTACCTTGAATGGCGATAATAAATTAACAATTCTAACAAGTGTTGTGGTTCTCTGAAAGAAAAAACAATATGAATATACTGACAACATTACTTCAAACACAACTACAGTAAGTCCTTGGGTTACTACAGAGACCCATTCCTATGGTGCGATTTTCTCTGTGAGTGGGAACCCACCTACATAAGCACCTACGTCACTCACATGGAGCAGTAATGAAATGAAACAGTAAAAAAATTAAAAGAAAGATAATAATTCTTGACCTTTACTTGTGGTAAATAAATAATAAAAAACATAAAGCACATATGTACATGCATCGAAATGATGGAACTTTTTTTAATAAATAAATGGGAGATGGCAACGTAGCCATGAAATGACATACGTTAAGTCCAAAGTAACCCAAGGACTGTCTGTATACATTTACACAAATTTGTTTTCCCACCTGGTGATCCAATCATTTCATTTTAAGACCAACAAATAAAGCAAAAAGACCAGGAATAAAAAGTGAAGAAATTTTGTATTATATGCTAGTATTTTTTTTTTATTATATAAGAGAAAATAAGTATTAAGAAATCTAACTTCCAAAAAGAAACTCAAAATGCTTTTAAAGAGAATCAGAAAACTGACAGAGCTAGTGCTCCAATTTGTTTGATTCAGTGGTTGCAAAGTTCCAGGTCTTTCCCTGGCCTTCCCAGCCGCACTCCATGTGAAGCCGAGTGCACGAGGACCACCCTGCCAGGGATCCTCAACCTCTGCTGGGCTCCGGGACAAACTGACAGTTTGCTAAAATTTCTCTTCCTACACATTGTCATATAAAATGGACTTTCTGCTTCAACGCCCTCCTATCATTACAGAAAAAAAAAATACAAATTTGCAAAAGGTTAACTGAAACTGGCATTTAAAACTCAGTTAAAGCAAGATAAGACTGAAGAGACTGGAAAATTTTAAAATGGGGAAAATAAACATTAAAAAAACCACACACAAAAAAGTGCTTCCCCAAAACACTGGACCCCTCAGGCATGGCGACAATTTTCTAAACTGAAATGTCTGGACTTTGGCAGAAGTGTCATGTTTTCCAAAGCAACTTCTGGAAATCTTAACCCTGGATTCAGAAAAACTCCCAACAAAACGAGCCAACAGCCAGAAAAAGGTTACTGTGTAAGGAAAATGAGTGATTCCATTTATAAACATATATCCACAGAAAAGAAGGCCACAACCTGGGAGAAAGGTTCCAGAAAAACTCACACCCCATCATAAATCTTCCTTGATGTTGAATTTCACCTGGTTGGATTCTTAATTTAAAAAATGAAACTTACTAAAACTGACATATACAGAAAAAATTTATCTGGCCTCTCAGGAGGCCAAGCGAGCGCTAAACACCCCTTTCAACGCCAGCTTGTTATAGTGTCATAAACTCAAATCCCAGAGATTAGGTCAGCAAGCGCCTGACTATACCACCAGCTAGTTTACTACATGTCTTTCACACTTGCTAGCAGTAGCAATATCTTGAAATACTTGGCCTCACAGGCCTTCGTATTACCTTTCCCAGTTGCCCAAATAAAGTAACTCTCTACTTTAAGGTCCTGCAGTGACTTCACTCATTATCACTTCTGGTGCTAAAAATGGGAACTGCTCAGTAAGCAGAGCTTCTAGGCGTAATTGCTACTTCTGCAGGTTTCTATAGCTCCTGATGGCTTTGCAGGCTTTTAAAGATTCCCCATATTCACCTACTCCAGCATCACCCCAATTTGCTTTACAAAGGCAACATGGCAATTTCCAGCTGATAACTTAGAATGGAACTTCCTTCTTGGTAATACCAGGATTAGAATAGAAAAAACAAGATAGAAGATATCTTATTCTACTGGGTTGGCAAAAGGGAAAACATCACACAAAAATCCCTTCAGTCTATGGATCCTACATGAGTCATAGCTGAGTTCTGAAGTCTAATTCCTCTAATCAGCTTTTGTCCTGGTTGTCCAGTCACAGGAAGAACAGGTTTTCACAGAGCTGGATGGCTGGTTCGTGATGCAAGATTTGACCTGACAGGAAAGCTAGCTTGTGGGCATACTTGCAAGGAGCTGGAACTCTGATGGTACCGGGCCAATTCCAGTACATGTGGCACAGTTTGAAAGTCAACCTGCAGCCCAAGAAGAAAATATTATCCTTATTACTTTCCACCTTCATTCTGGAATGTGATTATGTGCTTATGGGTGTATACTTTCCAGCAAACTGGGGAATTAAGGAATACATGACGTATCTTCAAAAAAAATTTTTTTTACATGAGGCAACTTTTTTTTTTTTCTATAAATATATTTTATTGATTTCTTACAGAGAGGAATGGAGAAAGATAGAGAGCTAGAAACGTCGATGAGAGAGAAACATCGACCAGCTGCCTCCTACCGGGGATGTGCCCGCAACCAATATACATGCCCTTGACTGGAATCGAACCCTGGACCTTTCAGTCCGCAGACCGACACTCTACCACTGAGCCAAACCAGCTTCGGCTACATGAGGAAACTTTCGAAAATAATTTTTTAACTGAATTTTTAAAATTGATTTTAGAGAAAGAGAAACATCTATTTGTTGTTCCATTTATTTATGCATTCACTGTTTAATTCTTGTTATATGCCCTGATCAAACTTGCAACCTTGGTGTATTGGGACGATGTTCTAACTCAGTGGTCAGCAAACAACTCATTAGTCAACAGAGCCAAATATCAACAGTACAACGACTGAAATTTCTTTTGAGAGGCAACTTTTTTAAACTTAAACTTCTTCTAAAGCCACTTCTTCAAAATAGACTTGCCCAGACCATGGTATTTTGTAGAAGAGCCACACTCATGGGGCCAAAAAGCCACATGTGGCTTATAAGCTGCATGTGACTCACAAGCCGCAGTTTGCCGACCACGGTTCTAACCAACTACCGGTAAGCTACCCAGCCAGGGCTGGGAATCATTATTTTAAGTGGAACTGTTTCTATTTCCACCATTTGTAAGACAAGAGGACATGGATGAATTCCCCCATGCTAGGTGCCCCTATTTTTATATCAAAACAAGAAAAACAAGGAGGTTCCCCCCCCCCCCCCCCCCAACAGGTTGCAGAAGAGTAAGTACTCCAGCTGAAACCGGTTTGGCTCAGTGGATAGAGCATCGGCCTATGGACTGAAGGATCCTGAGTTCGATTCCGGTCAAGGGCATGTACCTTGGTTGCGGGCACATTCCCAATGAGGGCTGTGCAGGAGGCAGCTGATCAATGTTTCTACCTCTCTAACTCTCTCTCTTCCTCTCTGTAGAAAATCAATAAAATTTATTTTTTTTTAAAAAAGAGTAAGTATTCCAGCAAAGTATTTATATAACATGTACTTAAGGGTCTGGGATATCAATTAGCTGCATCTCATTAATAATCAAAGAGAAGTTTTAAAAGACATAAATGCCTCAGACTGCTTAGGGGTGAAGCCTGGGCATCAGTATTTTTTAAGCTCTCCAAGTAAATTTAATCAACAATAGGATTACCAACCACTTCTCAAAAAGTTACCATTATCATGAAAGACATGAAGAAACTCAAGGGGTGAATATTATTGGGGTTGGGCAGTGACTTTACCTCAGCTAGCCAGTCATAGTGAGAAAGAGTAAGTTACTGGTCAGCTCACCTCTGCATATGATCGGGGCTCAGGTTTGCAGTGTTGAGAACACACACATAATGTGTAGGAATGCCACAACCCTGACGGACATGATGAGCAAGAAGGTAGAAGTCCACCCTAGTAAGGAAAAAAGACAAAGTAAGGAAATGGTTGGATTTCAAGCAGAGATGAAGATCTTGGAGATCATTTTAGCTCCCTCACCTAAGGCTCAGAGAGGTCAAATAACTGGCTCAAGGACACACAGGGACCAAACCATAGTTAGAAATTGGGTTTCCTGACTCAACAGGCTATTCAAGAATCCTGGTAGAAACTAACATTCTGTGTGCAGAACATTAAGCATGCATGATCTTTTTTTAAAAAATAACAATTTTTTAAAAATACATTTTTATTGATTTTGTACAGAGAGGAAGGGAGAGAGTTAGAAACATCGATGAGAGAGAGTCATCGATCAGCTGCCTCTTGCACACCCCCTTCTGGGGATGTGCCTGCAACCAAGGAAGATGCCCTTGACCGGAATCGAACCCGGGACCTTTCAGTCCCCAAGCTGACGCTCTATCCATTGAGCCAAACCGGTTTCGGCAAAAAAATAACAATTTTTTGTTGAAAATATTACATTCTGATATCTCCCCCTTTTCCCCAAAGCACACATAATCTTAAGAAAATAATGTATGGTCAGCCGAAATTGGTTAGGCTCACTGGATAGAGTGTCGGCCTGTGGAATGAAAGGTCCCGGGTTCGATTCCGGTCAAGGGCACATACCTTGATTGCGGGCACATCCCTAGTGGGGGATGTGCAAGAGGCAGCTGCTTGATGTTTCTCTCTCATCGACGTTTCTATTCAATAACTCTATCCCTCTCAATTCCCCTCTGTGTAAAATCAATTTAAAAGAAAAAGAATGTATGTTTAATAGTTTACAACTAAGAGGAAAAATAGTTTATAACTAAGAGGTAAAAACTTTATTGTTGGTTTGTTTGTTGTTTTTTTCTAATAGTTTTTTTTAAGCCTTTTTTTTTTTTTACAGATGGAAACGTATGTATTTAGCACTTTTTTTTTCCTAATTACAATTTACATTCAATATTATTTTGTATTAGTTTCAGATGTGCAGCATAGTAGTTAGACAGTCATATACTTTACAAAGTGTTCCCCCTGATATTTCCACTATTCACCTGGCCCCATACATACTTACTATATAATATTATTGGCTACATTTCCTATGCTGTACTTTACATCCCCATTAAATCTTTACTTTTTTAATAGTACTGCAATATATTCTTGATGAAATGTCTTGTTTTGTTCACTTACCACTCACAGCCTGTGATTGTATGATCTACCACAGTGCCAGGGGAGGGAGTTGCAAAATGCTCGGTAGCAGCCAGGTACAGATTGGTGCTGATTTTCTTCTGAACTACAAATACCACCATCTTGGGCTGGTAATTCTCAAAAGCCTCAAAACACTTCTGCAGCTGAGGAATCTCATAATTGGCAACTGTCTTTAGCTGGCCGTCAGACACTCCATCCCGGTACACCACAATCTTCTCTGGGAGACAGTGGTTCACCTGAAATGACACCACTGAGATGAGAGTGGAGCCCTGAGACTAATGACCAGGCAGAGAGAGGCTTGCTCAGTGCAGAGCTGGAGACGCAGCAGTCATTTCTACACTTCCACTGGGTAGTAAATGGGTCTGGTACAGCAACGGCATTACAAAATACAAACACAAAGTCAGCACACATGCATATGGCTCATACTCAAACAGTATGAATACAGTTAGAAGGAAAAAAGGAAAATTTGGGGCCGAGTCAATCTCCTACTACACTAATTACTGTTTAGGCTAAGAACAAGGTGAGCTGTTAGAGAAATTCTAACATAGACCACATATCCCAGAGATCACCATCCTCACATTTTTATGTACCAACAACATCCAAAGTTGCTAACAAGTGAAAGGGTCCTTTGCAAAATATCACCCTATAGTCAGTTATAATGTGGAACATTTTTACTATAATTAAGTAATTAGCAAACAGTAATGGTAAATTGTCCATGGATCCAAATAAAATTAAATGCTGGCTTAAACCAGTTTGAAGTTTTTTTTTTTTTTTCCCTATTTAGAGGATATAATTCTGTTCTAGTCATGTCTGACTTCAACAGTTCAAGAGAACAGGCTGTTCCATTTTAAACTAGGAGTTCTCTGAGAAGTACTTTAGTTTAATTCAATTAGTAAGTGACAGTTGGATTCTGAGTGTGGTTCATTCTAGGACTTTTGTTCACAATTCCCATAAAAAACCTAAATTATCATCCTGCAGACGTGTCTCAGTGGTTGAGCATCAACCTATGAACCAGGAGGTCATGGTTTGATTCCCCATCATGGCATAGACCTGGGTTGTGGGCTCAGTCCCCACTATGGGGAGTGCAGGAGGCAGCCAATCAATGAGTCTCTCTCAACACTTATGTTTTTCTCTCTCCCTCTTCCTTTCTCTCTGAAGTCAATAAAAATATACTTAAAAATAAACAAACAAAAAAACGAAATTACCACTGAATTAAATAGGTTCATACCATACATTCTTTACAGGTTACTCTACATGAAAATTTATGTTTAATTTCAATGACCCCCTTTCTTTTTTTTTTTTTTTAATATATTTTATTGATTTTGTACAGAGAGGAAGGGAGAGAGATAGAGAGTTAGAAACATCGATGAGAGAATCATCGATTAGCTGCCTCTTGCACCCCCCCCACTGGGGATATGCCCGCAACCAAGGTACATGCCCTTGACCGGAATCGAACCCGGGACCTTTCAGTCCCCAAGCCGACGCTCTATCCATTGAGCCAAACTGGTTTCGGCTCAATGACCCCCTTTAAACATTAGTAATCACCTAGAATCTGGTTAGAGCCTAAATTCAGATTTCAAATATTTTATGAATGTCCTTTTTTCCTGAGCCACCGCAAGTACTACATTTACAAACATGTAATTCATCTTTGCATTCCAAGATTGGAAGTACTTTTGTGTAGCATTTTTGTGAGTGTGTGCTGCTTTGGGCCATTTAGCATCTAGTCCACATTTTGAGGGAAGAGTAGATTTAGTTTCCTCCTGCCTCCAATATGACAGTCTGGTGGGACTATTAATCAAAGTGCCTTCCCCTAATCAAATTCAGGCTTCTCAGCTCTACTGACAAGTAGGACTGGCTAATTCTTTGTTACTGGGGGCTGATAATATAAGATACTTAGCAGATGGATACTTAGCAGATGCCAGTAGCAATCTCCCCAGTTATAACCCAAATGTCACTGCACTATCCAAAGGACAGAGGATTCAAACCATGCCAACAGAACACTTCTCCCTTGCTCTGAGTCTTGAGTAGAGACCGAAAATCACTTGCTCCCTCCATGGCAAAACCTCTTCAGGTCCCTGCTTCCGGAACTCTAGAAGCTACCCTGGCTCCTGTCTATTTCCCACCGTGATGCTCAACCTTCTCACCAGTCCTCTGAGACGCCCCATGATCTTGCCAATTACGTGAAAGTTAGCATATTTCTGTGACTTCCCCAAAACCCCTGAGACACTGTGTTAATAGGGGGGTATCAGAGGCACTTGCAAAGAGATCTGGAAGAAGTCCTCCTGTCACAGATGAGGAGACAGACAGGGAGTACACTGGATCTGGGCAGGTGACTTGGGATTGAGTCTGACTCTACTGCTGTTCAGCTATGAGTTTCCTTAGTTGAAAATTTGAGATAAATGACTACCTTCTTCTTGGGGTTGTTAAAAGAAAGTAAAATAATAAATATAATAATGAACAACATAAACTGATGAACAAAAACAGATCCAGATACAGAGAAGCATCGATCAGATCGTTAAACCTCAGAGGGAAGACAGAGGAGGGGGAGAGGGGATGGAGAGAGATCAACCAAAGGATTTGTATGCATGCATATAAGCATAACCAATGGACACATACACTAGGGGATGAAGGCATGAGCAGGGGTGGGGGTTGGAAAAGCAATGGGGGGATAAGGATACATATCTTAATCAATACAGAAAAAATTAAAATTAAAAAAAGAAATACAGGTTCCAGAAAGAATATATATATATATATACACACACACACACACACAGTATGGGACAAAAGCAGGTTCACAGTCATTCATATGAAAAATAATACAATAATTAATAAATAATAACACAATAAACTGTTTCACATATTCACAACCTACTTTTGCCCCACTCTACTTATGTATGTATCTTAAAAGCTATACACAAAAGTTGAGAATGATCTACATCAAGGAAATACAGATATTATGAAGTACAGAAAAGGAACAAAATAAGATCAGTGGAATGAAAAATAGAATCAAATTCATTTGAAGTATTCACAGATATTACCTCTTTCTTTAAAATTTGCTAACCAACCACTGAATGTGATTCACTATATTTTGCCCTATGTAAGCTTAAAGTAGAAGTGAAAGACATGATTCCTGTTATCAAGGAGCTTAAAAACCTAACAATAGTCAATAATGATAAGTGTTCCAGGTCATTTAGTCTATTCTCACTTCATAAATGATAATAAAACTATGTTCTAAGGAGGGGTCAGGATATATAATAAATCACAATATTAACACACAGATGTTAAATGTACTGTATATTAAACCAGTACATAAAACAATAAATTAATGAGTTCCTTGAAAGCAGGACTATGCTTTTTGGCTTGGTATCCCTAGCTCTGAATACAATGGCAAAGGTCAAGCAGAAAATAAGTATCTGCTGAAAATCTGAGATGCCCTTTTATGGGCACCTCAATTTATTCATAGAACACACCTAATGCCCACTAGTTATGAGCCATTGTTTCTAGTCTCATAAAATTAGAAAATTACTTTAAGACCATTAAATAACCAAGACCGGTTTGGCTCAATGGATAGAGCGTCGGCTTGGGGACTGAAGGGTCCCGGGTTCGATTCTGGTCAAGGGCATGTACCTTGGTTGCGGGCATATCCCCAGTAGAGGGTATGCAAGAGGCAGCTGATGGATGACTCTCTCTCATCGATGTTTCTAACTCTCTATCTCTCTCCCTTCCTCTCTGTACAAAATCAATAAAATATATTAAAAAAAAAAAAAGACCATTAAATATTCATGGAACTCAAATTAGAACCAGGAGGCAGACATATAAAGCAAATGGTCTTAATACATTATCATAAATGAGGATAAACAAAATGTTGTGAGGACAGAGGAGGTACACACAGTCCACAAAGGGGTGCACCAAGAGTGTCCACCTCAGATAACTGGGAGGCTGACCTACTGAACCATATAGGACACCTTAACACACACAGCCACCTACCAACTCAGGGAAGCAGCGAAAATGCCGAGACAAGGAAACATATCACAAACGAAAGAAATGGAGGACAAAAAGCGACTGGATAAAGAGTTAAAAACCACGCTTATAAGGTTTTTCAAGCATTTCTTAGAAAAGGCCAATAAAATAAACAAGAACTATGAGGATATGAAAAGGGATCAACTAGAAATAAAGAATACATTGTCTGAAATAAAAAATATTATAAAGAGTCCTAAAAACAGAATGGAAGATCGTAAGAATTAAGTAAAAGATTTGGAACACAAAGAGCCAGAGGACACTCCTCTGCAGAAGCAAGAAGACAAGAGGATCCAGTGAAAGAAACCTCTGGGACAACTTCCAGCGAACCAACATCAGAATTATGGGGGTCCCAGAAGAAGAGAGAGAGCAAGATACCAAAAGCATATTGAAAGAAATAGTGACAGAAAACTTCTCCCCACTGGTGAAAGAATTAGACTTACAAGTCCAGGAATCGCAAAGAACCCCAAACAAAAGGAATCCAAAGAGGACCACACCACGACACATCATAATTAAAATTCCAAGAGCAAAAGACAAAGAGAGAATATTAAAAGCAGCAAGAGCAAAGCAGGTAGTTACCTATAAAGGAGCACCCATACGATTGTCAGCTGATTTCACAACAGAAACCATGCAGGCCAGATGGGAATGGCAAGAAATATTCAAGGTGATGAATAGCAAGAACCTACAGCCAAAAATACTCTAACCAGCAAAGCTATCACTCAGAATCAAAGGCCAGATAAAGAGCTTCAAAAATAAAAAAAAGCTAAAGGAGTTCATCACTGCCAAACCAGAATTATATGAATTGCTGAAGGGGGTTCTTTAGGAAGAGGAAGAAAATAAAGAAAAAAATTATAAACAACAAATATGTAACTATCAACAAGTGAATCTAAAAACCAAGGGAATTAAAAAACCTGATGAACAACGTTAACTGTTGAATATAATAGAATTAGAGGTATGGAAGGGGAGTGGACTGAGGATTCTTGGGGAAAAGAGGAGTGGGGGGTGCGGGAAAAGACTGAACATAAACTGTGCACCTATGGATGAGGAATATGGGGGGGTGGGGAAAGGGCAGAGGGTGGGGTGGGAACCTGGTGGAGGGGGGGGGGGGAAGTGAGGAACTTTTGTAATAATATGAACAATAAAGATTTACTTAAAAATAAATAAATAAACAAATAAATAAAGGAACTATCAATAAGGAGAAACTAAAAAAGTAACCAAA